TGTGACGGTGACACGGTGACTCGCCCCAGAAAACAGAAAAATGAGGCTGAAACGAGTCAAACACACAAATGAGAGACGATTTCAAAACGAGCAAAGAGAGAGAGTTAAAGGAAGAGAGGATGTGAGATGGATAAACAAGCCTGATAAGATATAACAACAAACAGAGGTTTTATCTAGTTACAGGATTAAATCTGTTTCTTACACACACACACACACACACACCCAGATATCAAAGAGTCCTAATTAAGCTGCTCTGCATTCAAACTTACTATCCCTCACATCATTAACATTCCCCATCACAGGCTCGGCACTTTATCTAAGAGAGAGCAGGCAAATCATGAAATATTCATGATTTATTAATCTGAACACAGAAAAACAAACAATGGCAACCAAGGGAGTGTGACACCCTCTCCTGCCAAACAGCGGCAAAGAAACACGACTGTGTGTTTGTCGCTCGCTTGCTCGCGCACTCCACATCTCCAACGGGAAGCCGCCACCGCGCTGGCATTCAGGTGAGCGCCGCTAATTCCCCACTCATAATGGTGTTTTAGTGAGATAAGGTGGGTGGGGGGGAAGTGTTGCTGGGTTTTCTTCACTTGGCCCTCCGATCTCGCTTCCGAGTGTCAACAAAATGTCAAGCTCTGCGCCGTCATTGAAGAAGAAAAAAAGAACAGAGGGAGATGGAAATGTGGCAGGAAGCCATCAGGAGCCGCATCACATCAGTGTTTCCATGTTGTTAGGATAAAGAGGAGGGAGGAGGTGAAAGTAGGGAAGCAAAAGGAGAGAAGGAAAGGAGAAGTGATAAAAAAAAAAAAAGCATAAAGGTAGAGGGGGGGGAGGGATTGGTTGCCTTCTACTTCTCAGGCTTTTGAGAGATTTCCTGAAGTGGGAAATTTCCTGCTGATGACACAGTTGTGGAAATGAAACGGCTGCAGCGCTCGGTTGATGTTACTGTTATTGACTCCCAATGGGAGTAAAAAAAAATCCCACTGCACGACGCAATTTTCTAGACTCTCCATTTCTTTTTTATCCCAACTCACTATTATCACTCAATCTCACACTTCCTTGATCTTCCTCTTCTTCTTCTTGCTCTTGACTGTCTCAGCTCCCCACCGCCCTCTCTTCTTCCCTCTTTTTTTTAAGTCCCCCGGGTGACCTTGAGCGGCAGCTGCCAGTGAAGTAGCTGAAGTACAAAGTCAATATGAGCCAACAAAGCTGGTTAAGTATTAAATGGGGGATGATGACGCTGCTGTTAGCCGGGGAAAAGCTCGACAAAGAGAAACTAAAGGGGAGTACGTGCACTTGGACTTAAATGGAACACTCGATAGTAATGATGGTGTACTTTGATCAGTCGTCTGGTGATATTAGATGAGATTTGATCTGTGCAGGATAATCTACTCTCCGGCGGGGAAAAGGGGGGCACTTACACAACTTACAAGCTCCATTTTAATGTGTGATAAGTATAGCATTGTGTGACATTTTTAGCCGAGTAAGCGTTGACTTCCAAAGAGAAGTCAAAAGAAATGAGAAGTTACGTTTCCTAAAAAAGGGGAAATGTGACAAATCTGATGTAGAAGTCAGAATTAGAACAGGAGACAGGAAAAGGAAGTTTTGCCATCAATGAGGGCAAATCCCACAAAAAAAAAGACATTTTAAATTGTGGAGCGTTTAATAGCCTCTCTCTGTCTTTTCCCGGGATCATTGTCAAGACGGCCTGAAAGTCAGAGGATAATGTAGCAGAGAATGGGTTCTTTTCATCAGCGCTTGGCCGTGGAAGTCGACGGGACTAACTCCAAGTCAAAGCTGTTTCAGCTATGAAAATCAATTGAATGAGGTGCAGAGGGTGGGGGCTTCTGTGTGCGTTTGTGGGTAGATGGGAGAGTGGGAGATGGTTAAGGGTTTACCTATATACCGGCGGCTCCCACCCTGCCCTCCTGCCGCTGCATTCCTTTAGAAGCAGCATTCCTCTAAAGGCAGCGGGGTCAAAAGTCAGGCGGATGAGACGAGCTGGATGTAGCAGAGTCCGGCAGCACCGGCCTTTGTGGTGTATATGAATGAGCAGGTAAGGTCAGAGCCTATCATCTCTGAGTTCAAAGAGTGTGCACATTCAGAGAGCATCCAGGTATCTACATATACATTGAACAGAAAAGCCGGCCCGCTTTTTTGGCAGGTCTCCCAATCCAAGCGCTAACAGCTGCTCTGACACGTGTGTGCATTCCTGGATCTGCAGCACAGCGTCCCCGCAAGGCTTCGCCTGTCCGCCCCCAGACTGTGGAAAAGTCAGGACCAACTACACAGGGCCAGTTGCATACAAATCCATTTACCTGAGAGAGCTGACGTCAGGAGTTTTTTATTTTTATTTTTTGTTTTTGCAAAGCGGGCCTGCAACCAAAGGGCTTTAAATTAGATTAAAAAATGAAAAGCATCCAATGTATTAAATTCAAATAGGCTGCTGGATCATAACGGAAGGCCAAACTTCTTTAAAGTGTATTGGTTTCACTTTGTTGCCGAATTCTAAAAGTATGCAAGAAATCTCAACGCTTGCAATAACCAGATGAATCCATTCCAAAAACACAAGAAAAAAAGTCATGAATGCTTCACAAAAGACGTGTAAGAATCACTTAGACTAACAGAATAAGAAGCTGCACTGTACACTTGTAAAAAAAACCACACAAAAAAAACCAATTGGATTTGGTGAGTTTCAGCAGCGACAAAAATCAAATGTATTGACGCTGCCGGAGAAATAGCTAAAAAGCAGCGGTATTGATGGAAATAAATCAGCCGTGGTGAGACAACAGTACAGCGGAAAGAGAGAAGCTCGGTGCGATCAGATGTGTCAATCAGCTGATTACAGCGACAGAGGCTGTTCCCTTAAGACAGGGATACCTCTGGGAAGAAAAAGACAGGCCCGATCCGTTGGGAAACAGAGGCGGGCTGTCCAGAGATGACTGGAATGTCAGATAATGGATGACATATCTCTCCAGGTGACACCGAGCCCAAGGCATCTAGGGAGACAGACTAGAAGAGAATGTGTGTTTGAGAGAGAGAGCAGGGTGGTGGTGGTGGTGGTGGTGGTGGGGGGGGGGGGTGGGGTTACGAATGGGAAGACAAGTGCATGCTTGTGAAGTTTGGTTAGAGCTCCTTTTTTTTTTTTTTTTGGCATTATAAGTTTGTGTGTTTGAGGTTTTCAAGTTCACTTCAAGTTCAAGAAGTCGCTACCCTTTTTTCAAAGAATGTTCCCTCTCTGCTTTTCCACTTTCCATCCGTCCTTCTTCTAACCTTGACTTCTAGGAACAATGTCGACAAGTGCTGTTATCGCATGCCCGAGTTAATCCAGGCTTTACAAAGGAAAAAAGGATCCACAGGTTCATAAACGCAGATTAAACCGGTGTCACTCACACACACACACACACACACACACACACACACACACACAGGTGAAGCTGACAGCCCCGGTGCACGACGTAATCCTGCTTTATGCAAACACCAAACACAGCCACCGCCTAAACATACCAAGCATTCAAACACACAGCTGTTGATCCCATGGGGATGGAATCATTAATTACCACCTTGACAAAAAGTGAGATCTCCAAAATTAGCAGTAATCAGCCGTCCCTGGGGGCCGAGTGGAGAAAAAAATGGCACCAACTTCTGGAAGTGAGGGTGATAATTAACCTGTTTTATGTGACGGATTTATCTGCACTAAATCGCACCATTATTCAACCGTCTTACGTAAACTAACCTACACACAACTTTTTTATAGGAAGCAAGCGTTTTGTCATGACAAGGTCCCTGTGGCCATGTAACTCATTTAAGAGCAAAAAAAATCAAAAAATTTCCCACGTTAACTTTCGCTTAATTTGCACTAAGTACAGGGTGCAAATTAAACGTGTCAGAGCGTATCGTGGTGGGAGGCTGCGACGCTCTCAAGAAGGAGGAGTGGTTGTGAATTCCTTCATAAGGAAAGGAAGTAGGAAAGGATGGGGGGGGGAGGGTGTCCAGGGAGCTAATAGACTGGTCTAGAGCTCTTTTACAACATGCTTAAAAAGGGAGCAAGGAGGTGGAGTGAAGGGTGAAACACAGTCATGTCGCGGGGGGCATAAAAGGGTTAGTTAACTGTGTGCTTCAGTTTGGGCGCTTTAAAAGGCTCACTGATGGAGTTTTATATGACTTTGATTTATAAGACTATATTTTAACAGTGGAGGTTAAATTATACTCTGTATTGATGGCTGTGTTCATTTGAATGGATCCAGAAATAGCCTACATCTAAACGCATCACGACACAGTTCATCAAAGCGAAAAGTGCTCTGTCATGTTTACCTTTTTATCTGTTAGCCGTTGTTGTTATTAATACACAAAATCTACCTGGTTATAGTTTTAATTTCACTTCCACAAAATCCAGAGTGTAAACGTGCTGTAGTTTCAGGGCTTATCCTCCTTAATTTCTTCTTCTTTGGTATTTTCAATAAATTCATTTGACCCCCTTGCTCACTTCCGGTTTACACTCCTGTAGAGGTGAGTGACATTTTTTTTATAGCTAGCTTATCCCCTATTTATCACAGTATGAAGTTTGTATTTTTGATTTCCGTAAGTCTTAAAAAGTCTGTCACAACAAACCAATATATTTGATTTAAAAGAGCAGGCACTGAAAAAAAGAGATAAATTTAAGAAAGTGCTGCTAGCTGAAAGTTACAATGAAAATTAACAAAATTGAAAAAAAATCGAAAAAAAATCGAAAAAAATCGAAAAAATCGAGGGAAAAAAAGGATTTGTTTCATAAGCTTGTGTTTTTTTTAATCAGAATTTTATATAAAAACTTCCATGAAATAGAGGTTATTTCCCCTCTAACTTCGTCCTAGCTGTAACCCGCTCCATCCTCCAGCAGTTACCTGGTTAGGCTACAAGTGCGCATGCGTGTAGCCGCTAAAAGTCCAAGCAGCAGGTAATGTAAAAGAAACGTGTTTTCCCGATACACCACTTGAGCCAACTGTGTCACTTACTTGTCATACTCGGCGTTGTCCTTGTCACAGCGGGCGTCCTTGTGCTTCTGCCAGTCCTTGCCGTGCTTGCAGGTGGTGAGCAGCACCACGTCCTCCGCGTTGTGGACGTGATGTAAGGCATTCCTGGTGTCCGAGCCGATACCTGTCAGGTAGCGCTTCCCCTTGAACACCAGCATGTACTTTCTGAAAGGCGGGATGGAGTTATACTTGAGGAAGCCCCTCTCTCCCCCGGTCCTCGGGTGCTCTTTGGAGAAGAGGGGGATGGAGACGTCGAAGTTGGGCCTGAAGTTCTCGGTGCTGATGCTGGCTTTGGCCAACATCGCCTGGCCGATGTCGAAGCCCAGGTCTTCCGTGTAGTCCGGCCACGTCCCCGAGTACAAGTTAAATATGAGGTGGTTCCTGCCGTCGTTCCAAAGAGGCAGGTTCTGGACCTTGGTTTTCAGGTTGTGGACGTATTGCGGGGACAGCTGGTCCCGGTCCAGAGTGTCCAAGCTCAGGACGAACAGACAAGCCTGCCCGGGGTCCGAGGTGTAAAACCGGGACCCCTCGATGGTGGATAAAATATTCTGATAACTCTCCGAGATCTTCTCCCCCTTCTGCTGCGGGTAAACATAAACTTTGAATCCGTTCTTCTGACACTGGGAGAAGTCGAAGCAGGAGTCCATGCGGCACCGCTTGCCTTTGTAAACACTCGTGTTGACGTCCCTCTTCTGCCGCGGAGATATGTGCAGGTTGTACTCCTCGGTGTCCGTCTGATCCCAGGGCAAGAAAAGGTGTAAAGGGTCCGAGAAGTGGGGCCAGGGCTGCTCGGGCCGGTATCCGTTCCGGCTGCGGTCATGCCGGCTCCTGCTCGCCGCTGGAAGCTGAACCCCTGCGAGGTAGAAGAGAAGCACCAGACATGCACCGGCGGAGAGCAGGATCAGGTAGCGTTTTTTGGCCTGCATGTGTCCTGGGAACAGGGGCGAGTCGTGTAGGAATAAGAAATGCAAAGTAGCCCGAAGTTAGGCTCTCACCAACCCCGGCTACACCGCTCCATCCTCCGGCAGCCTCCACGGATCCCCAACCCCCCTTCTGCGTATTCGGTTCCCAAATCCAGCAATTGATCCAGTGCATGTGGGCGATTTTTCTTTTTTTAATAAAAGTATTTTCCCGTTCGTCCTCTTCTGTAGAGTTTCACCATATCGCACAGTTCTGCCCGGACCCTCTCGGACACAATCACATGCACACGAGTGTCGCTTCCCCTGCGCTTCTTCTCGCCCTCATTCAGCCTGTCTGTGTGGAGCTATTCAGATGGAAAGAAGAGAGAAAAAACTGTCCGACAGCCGTCTGGGAACTCTCTCTCCCCCCCGGCTGAACAGCGGCAGGGGTCCCCGAGGCTCTCCCAGACGGAGAAAGGAAAAGGTATACCCCGATTTGGATGTTAAACTCGGTTACACATTGACCAGGCTGAGTCAAAAATCCCAGTCGCCGCGCCGGATCCAGATCCAGACGCCTCAAGCTGTAGTCGTTCTATTCCCCGTGTTTTATCACTCCATGGTCCCGTAAGAGAAAGCAAAAAAAAAAAAAAAAAAAAAGGGGGAAGGAAGCGTCGTTGTGCAGGGGGACAGATCAGCGGTGCAACTGTAACCTGACGAATCCCTGCATTTCTCTTCTTATTTCTCACAACCTCCCCTCACTGCCTCATACGCGCTTTGCTTTTTTACAATACAAAGCCTCCACAGCGGGCGAAGTTCTCCGGTCGATACGAGGGGGGAAACAGACGCTCACCTCTCACTGAGCAGATAGCCGAAGAAAAAAGGTTCAAAAAGACCGGATTCCTTGATCCTAGTGTCCAATTACCGAGTGCTCAGTTGTTCCGATTGTTAGTCAGTAACATTCCAATCCCGACACGACGGCAGCTGACGTGACGTCCCATCGAAGCGCATGGGCGCCCCCGATTGGTCCGTGTGTAGCAACGGAAGGGGCGGGACTTTGGGAAATGTACCCATTCATAACCGGTGTCCTCCGCATGTGCGAATCATCTAATTGTGAGCCTGGGTTTTGGAAATGAGCCAGCCTCAGTGAAGTGTACACTGACACTAATCAGAAGTTATATTCTATTTGTAATTAGGCTGAGTGGTTTACTGGACCTTCACAATCGCGTATGCATGCTCTCAATCCTGCTGCATCTAATCCTCCACTGGCACTGATTTCATTGTAGCTCCTTCTTCTCATTACTCATTATATTATCAAAACATACATGGTTGTCAAGCACCTTTTTGATTCTGTATTTTTCTACTCTTTTTATTTCTTAAAAACTTTGGTTTGTCAAAAATGAAATAGACAAGTGAACAGAAAAAAATGAAGTGGCTTTAGCTATAACTTTAAACAGATATTCTGAATCTGTTAACCTTCATGTAGAGATATGACAAGAGTCCCAACAAAAACAATACAATATAAAAAAACAAATCTTACATTTTTTAGTGCCCCTGTGCTCTTAAAACTTTGTCCCCCATCGGGCACCCCTGATATCAGAATCAGATTTATTGGCCAGGTATGCTTACACACACACACACAAGGAATTTAACTTTGGTAAACTGTGCTCTCTTATGTACAAATATCAACAATAAACATAATAAGAAAAGACTAATATTTACATGACTAAATATGAAACAGTGCAGTGGTGAATAGTGCATCAAGTGTATCAAGTAAATACATTTATTAAAGAACAAACTAATACCACAAAGTTAGACTTTTATTTCATAAAAGTTCAGAAATAATTTGCTGAAGAATTTTGAAATTATTTAAACTGCTGAAAAGTTGTTGATGATTTAATTTTCTGTGTTTCTCAGAGCACAGTATGTTTTTGTTCTAAATAGATCAAATTTGTTGACATGTTTTGTCTTTATGTGACGGCACTAGAGGCAGATGAGTAATAAGAAGAGAGAGTCAGAGGGCTTGGATCAACCTGGGTATTGCAACCACATGTTATTGTGTTCCAACGACCAGGATGACCTCTGTTGTTCTCCTCACTGATTTGCATAAGGTCTGTTGTTAGTCACTAACACAGAGTCCTGACTGTGCAAAGATAATCAAAAGCCCCAAAATATGATAAACCCTGTGTCATTTCCTTGAACATGTTGGTACACTGAATTTTTTGCTCAGATGATGTTCTCATTGTTTATTTGAGACAAAAAAACGTACAAAGTAAAAAGTTAGGATTTGAAGACATGGAATGAGAATAAGTTGTTGTTGGGCATGAACTCCTAGGCTAAAGTTTTCTCGTATCCACTAACAAACCAAAGTGACCCAGACGAGGCCACTGGCTTGACAAGGAAATTAATAGCAGAGGAGTGGCCCTTGCTGAGTGTCACCATGCCTCATAAGCCAGCATAATCCTTCCCACTGCTATTTGGTGGCACAACACTCGGGCTGGGTGAAGAGGCCATCCTCATTTTTTATCGGCCAATTAGCTCAGAAGAGGGGGACTAATTAGCCGGGCTGGCTGGGAGACAGGCCAGGATCCTGTGGTTGGCCGGCGCTCATCGTCGGAATATGCTCTTGGTGATGAAGAGGCCTGGGTGCTGTTCCAGAGGGCTGCTCCTGTCTGTGCTTGTCCTGCTAAATCCAACGCTGAAGAAACTTTTGTTGACTGCAAGGGAAATAACATCAGAGCATACAAATCTCTATATTGTCTCCTCAGTCTCCCCTAACCATCTTAATGCTGGAATTTTGGATTTTGTCTTGAAGATTAAACGCAGACATTTTATTAAGCATCAAATTCTGATGGACTATAAGAACTCGTACCGATCCCAAACACTCAAAAACTACTGCTTTTGTTTTAGAGACCAGACATTGCAAAACATTTGACTGTTGGGCCCAAATATGAATTTTTAGATATTCTGGTGCCCAAAACCTCTAATCAAACATCTCTGATTAACACACATGAACAGCCAGTCCTTTCAAATGTATTTTTATTTCATACACATGAAATAGTTTGAAGTATGCAGTACTAATGAATAATCCAAAATACACATCAAATTCAGAAAAAACAACAAGAAGTGAAAATCTTATAAAATAAAAGTATGTATTATTGTAAATGACCTCTTGAGGCCAACCTGCAGTACCTTCACAGTCCATCAGGGGGCACAGACCACACCTTGGGAACATTGGTAGACTATTGCTTCAGACCCTGGAGGCATGGACGCTCACATTTTGAATCACCCTGCAGAAACAACAACAACAACAACAGCAACATGTGAGCGTTAAGGTAATCTAAGCTAAATATGTTTAAGTTATCTGAGTCAAAATCTGAGATCTCAGAAGCCTGCCACCTAATGTTGGGTTACAAATGCTTGGCTAGTATTTAACTCCCAGTGTTAGCTCAGAGGCCTAAAATTATTCCAAAAGCCGTTAATGCAATGCTAAACTATGGCTCTTTGGCGTTAGCTTTTAGCATACTACTCTGAAATGAACCAACCTTTCTTCCAAGGCGCAGCACCCACCACCTAAATTAGATCATTATTGACTTTGTTTGCCTGGATGCTAACGCTAAGTGTAAATAGCTTCGGTGTGACCTCTTCTAATATTCTCCAGCAGAATTTATTGTTTCATTTTTTGTAATAGATGTAGTATTCCCATTCCCAATGCAAATCCAATATTTAGAAATTTTCAAAAAACTTGATTGATAGTATTTCAACAAAATGTTTTATTTAGATGGGTACTACATAAAGTACTCACTGATATACTATCAGAGCATACAGTATATAGTAAGAGGTCTGATTTAAGTCTCCAGTTGCTTTATCTGTGCAGCCTTATGGAAACCCACACAACTTCACTCTAAGTCTTTAGAGAATCTTGCTTTTGTTTATGCCGGGGGGACTTTGCTCTTAATTGCTTGCTACTCTAATGGGACAAATGTCTTGTTGCTAAATGACTCCAGAAAACAGGATCGTGTTAACCAGAGGAGAGATGGTGTAATCTGAGTAGAGTTGTTCTCTTGAAAAATGATCCCGTCTTTTTTAATGTATTGCAGGGGTTGTTCACGTCATTAAGCATCTGTCTTGATTGCAGGTGAGAGAAGAAAAAGGAGACGCAGTTGAGCTTTAAAAGAGACTGCAGTATTAACCTCTGCACCATCAAAGGCACCATATACCTCGAGTTTATCCCCTATATCCTGACTGTTTTGGAACACTTGCAGAGCTGTGTGGTCTCTCCAAAAGACAGCGGTGAGGACTGGGAGTCATTCCAGGGAGCTTCACCACACTCGGCTCCTTCATCCTGCCTTGTGTACACTTCTAATATTTCCCACCCCAGAAAAGAAAAAAAAAAATCCCCTCTTCAATCACGCCTCTGTCTCTCTTTCTTCACAGCACTGTAGCAAGTCTGAGATAGGAGAAATCCAAGCTAGCTGTGAAATCTCAAAAGCTGGTCTAAGTAAGATTGTTATGTAAAACACCCCCCCTCTTTTATCTGCCAAAATCAAGCCGTCGGTTTGAAATAGAGAAGAGCATCATTATGCTGCAGATTCTCTTTCTGCTCCAAATTAAATGCTGTTGTCAGCATGGACATGAGCTGGAAGCATGCCCCATTTTTTGCAGGGAGATATATTCATGAAGGGACACATTTGTACATACAAGGACAAAAAGGCAAAAATGCTCTGTCCAAATACGACAACCCAAACCAGCACTGGATTAGTCATTTTCTTTGATATAAAGCTAAAACACTCTGGCTGTCCAGGATTGTGCCTCTCGTTGATTACCATTACATTTCAGTCACTGAGTTAAGCATGCAAACATAAAAGCCTAGAAAAGATATTTATAGTTTTTATTAAAGTCACATCTTACCAAAGGTACATAATGTCTAGAGCACGATTAAAAAGGTTTTCTGAATTGCCATTTTTTCTTTTATCCATTCCAAACACGGATGGTTACCAGACATGACCATTTCTGATTTCACGACTTGTGCAACATGACCTAAATCTCTTGAAAAGGTACATATCTGTTCATATTTATGTTCATTGATAGTGCCAACATTTAACTCTCCCTACTCGTGCCATTTCTGTCCGCTGTTTTTGGTGTATGGATAAAACTCAAAAGATCTGTTTTCTTTAACAACACTATTATTTTCGGTATCCAGATGGTGAGAGGAGTCTTTTAAGGATTCTACTTTCAGAAAAAAGCTAACGGATGGAGAATCAGATGCTTGGCTCTGTGACTTGCATGTTATAAGTTAACAAATAACTGACACAGACTTCAAATGCGTCATGGTAAAATACCCTCCTTAAGTTTGTGTCCTGTGTTGTTACTAAAGTTAGTTTATGAGCAGGAAATCTGTTTCCTTAACCTCAGTCAAACTGAAGAGGGGGAAAACTTCCTTTCTTTCACATTTGTTGTCCTGATGCGTCACTGAAGAACAGAGGCCTGTAAAATCAAACAAGTTAAACATATCCATCTTTCAGTTAGCTGGCTTCACTAACCCTTAAAGATCTCCCTAAGCGATCGGACAGCAGAGGCGCTGCTTGTCAACAGGCAAGGCGGGCAACTGCTTGGGGTAGGAAACCTCCCCAAGGGGTTCCCATCTGACAGAACTCTCTCTTGTTACCCTGCTGAACGCTGCTTGGAGGGTTGATTTTTGCCTACAGGGCCCCATCAGACTCTAGAATCACCAGAGTTTGTACGAGCAAGCTCACATAAAAGGGGCGGTGTCCGAAGCACATGACCAATTGAATCAGACTAGTCAGCAGATCGTCATATTTTACAAACTCAGTGCAAACTTTTCTGATATTTAAAAATAAGAAAAAGTGACATAGAGCTGCAACAACCAAAAAATCGCAGTGTTAATGTGTCAATTAAGGAAAGTAATAGCCAATTACTTTCTCATCATTAGTGCAAAATGGATCTAAATATTTATCTCATTCAG